TAAAAAAAGAGCTTGGTAATTTACAAATATGTACTCATATGAGCTATGAAACCAAGATGTCCGAAAATATGAAAGCTACCTTAAATTACAAAGTGATTATAAATCTCATTAAAGGTAAAAAAGTAAAGTAGCAGCTAATATACGTTTCACTACTGTACACAGAACTCCTCATTACCTATAGTGTTTTGTGGGCAGAAAAATAGAGTACGCTGCAATGTTTTAATACATGTAACGGTTTTCACATCTCCACGACTATTTTAACTACTCGGACATCTAGGTTTCCCCACGAAGTTATTCTTCACCACTTTAACGGACACGTGTTAAGTCAGCACGTAAAGTTTTCTATAACAGAATCATCCTCGTACACGCTTTGCTCCCGTGCCATGATGAAATCTCACGGCGAGAGCTACACGGCCCTCATATTTGTTTAAATACAATTCACTAAAACTGAAACTAAGTTTTTGCATGATTGTTGACCACATCGACCTAGAATCAAGAATCATTTATTTGCATAAAACACGGTAAATAAGTTGTTACATTAAATAAAAGATCAACATGTTTTGTCCTGTTAGGACTTATTTAAGTATATGATCACTTAAATTTAAATTAGTTATTATTTAAAAAGTACAATTATTATTATTACAGTATTCATATTTAAAATCATAATTCATTACAAACAGATTGAATTGAATTAAATCGAATTAAAATTAGTTATTATTTAAACAGTACAATTATTTTTATTATTATAGTAGTCATATTTAAAATCATAATACATTACAAACATTATATTCATGGTCAAGTGAATTTATTTGTAATTAAAAAACTCCTTAATATTATAGAAAGCACTGTCCACCAACCACATAAAAAGTTTGCTTTTAAATTTATAATTACACCTAGTAATTACACATCCAACGTTGCCACGAACGAATTTTCAATTATTTACATCGTATATTCAGTAGCATTCTATTATTTAATTATATCAGATACTTACCATTTTAGTTTGTTTAGTGGTAAGTAGATGGCGCTATTATTAGATTAAATAATGAAAGCCAAAACTATATTATCTAATAATATCAGCAATAGAAGTGAACATTTATTTATTTTATCAATAAAGCATTAAGTGATGACAATTCTGTTAAAAGTTCTGTTTCTGTTAAAAATATACGCTACCAGCGCCGGCAGCGGTGAAAAACGATTTAATGATATCGTCATATGACCATATCATGAAATAGCAAAGTTTCTAGTTAGTAATATCTTCAAACGATTTCTATTCATTGATTTGGTCAAGCTATATCATGAGATGGTCAACAAACAGTGTTTTATGATCTATTCTACGATCTGGTCATGACATATATAAAAATCTCTTTAATAAAACTATAATGATAATAAAAATTTTGCAATAATTGCAGACAGACCAGTTTTAATCAGTTTACATATAGATTAGTAATTGAAATAAAAACCTTATCAATTTTCATATTTTTGATTGATCTTCTATTGAAATTATTACACTTTTAAAATAAAATAACAAAAATACTAAAAAAACTAAACGTTACAGTTTGTAATAATTTTAAAAATCTTATTATCTTATTATTTAAACATAAATGTAAGTTACTTATATTATTTAATTTATTAGTAACTGAAGGCAAAATATACTACTTTTTCCATTTGATGATAGATGGCGCTGTTTTCATAACTAAATCGGTGTAATTTCAAATTATTTTACCAAGTTTATAACTATATTTTATACTTTATTTATAAATATGGTATTTATTTGAAAAACACTCGTCATCCCATCTATAACTAAGATATAATAGAAAATCAACATCTAAAGGAAAGAAAATACATAACCTTCTTTTTTTCAGTTCCATAATCGGATAAAAAGTAGCCCTTAAGTTGCCCCGGGTTACTAACTACCTATATACAAAATTTTGTGTAAATCGCTCTAGTAGTTTTTGCGTGAATCCGGAATACACAGACAGATAGACAAAAATTCTAAAAACCACTGATTTGGGTTCAGAATCCTTTATTTAGTCCCCTGGACTTGTTTTTTCAAGAATATATTAGAATTACAGACACGACTTTTCTACAGATTTATTATATGTATAGATGTATAGATTATGTAAAAACATATTCTAAAATATTTAAAAAAGTGTGCTCCACTGCTGAGGCTTTACATTTAAGCAACAAAATTAAAACTGCATCCGACAAAATTAAAATGACCTGGAGAATAATAAATAGTGAAACGGGCAAGGTCAAACCGCGCAACTCGGATTTTCAATTGAATATTAACAATAATTTAACGCGATCTGATCAAGAAGTTGCTATGGCTTTTGAAAAACATTTTACTGGTGTTCCATTTTTGACAACAAAATCATTAAATTCTTCTCCTACTGTCGCCGAATCATTGCTCAAACAAAATGTAAAGGCTTGTTCAAATAATTTTAAATTCCATAGAGTACTGCCGAAAGATATCGTTAAATATTTTAAAATTATTGATGTCAAGAAAACGGCAGACTTATGAGGGATTTCCGTTAAAGTTATTTTATCTATAATAGATATATAGCACCTTATCTAGCCACTATATTTAATATAAGCGTCGAATCTGGTGTGTTTCCTGATTTAATGAAACATAGTAGTCATACCTATATTTAAATCTGGTAGTACATTAGACCCCACCAATTTTAGACCAATTTCTGTACTACCAACATTTAGTAAAATTTTTGAAAAAATTATTTTAGATCAGATGTTAAGTTTCTTTAATATTAATAAATTGCTACATAAAAATCAATTCGGTTTTACAAGGGGTCGCTCGACAACTGACGCTGGAGTTGAGCTTATTAAACATATTTTTTGTGCATGGGAGAATTCAAAGGATGCTTTGGGTATATTCTGTGACCTTTCCAAGGCCTTCGACTGTGTTCACCATGAGACATTAATCAGGAAGCATTACCATGGTGTCAAGAACACAGCGCTTAAACTTATTATTTCATATTTAAGTAATAGAAAGCAGAAGGTTATTATCAATGGTAAAAGTTCTTCTGGGTCACCTGTACAAATGGGTGTCCCTCAGGGCTCGATTCTCGGCCCATTCCTGTTTCTGGTGTATATTAATGACTTACCTCACCTTGTAGGGGATAGTCATGATATAGTATTATTTGGTGATGATACTTCCTTGATTTCAATCATTTAAATGTGACGAAGTGAATAATGCTATATCAAAATTAAGTGCATTGGTTTAACGTTAATAATCTGCATTTGAACGGAAATAAAACTAATTGTAATAAATTTACAACAACGAATGTTAAAAATCTGAATACCAATGTGTTTTTAAATGGGGAGGAATTGAGCCCTGTTGTATCCACTGTTTTTCTTGTCATCACTCTCGACGCAAAGCTTCAGTGGGGCCTCCATATATCCAAATTAGCAAGCAGACTAAGTTCTGCAGCCTATGCTGTAAAAAAGATTAGAGGTCTCACTAGTGTCGAGACAGCTAGATTAGTTTATTTCAGTTATTTCCATAGCATAATGTCTTTTGGGATTTTGCTATGAGGAAATGCGGCTGATTCAGAAACTATTTTTGTTTATTCAGCTGGAGCATTTAAAGAGCAAATAATTGGCATACAGTTTAATTTTAAAAACTATATATTTTCTGTTTTATAGCAAAATTAAATTTTCGATACTTAATTTTTTGTAAATATTTATAAATTAACTAATAGCAATAGAGGTGGAGCAAATTCGGATTCTGCTGGAGCATTTAACGAGCAAATGATTGGCATACAGTTTAATTTTAAAACGTACATATTTTATGTTTTATAGCAAAATTGAATTGTCGATACTGAAATTTTTTAAAAATTAATTATAACTAACTAATTACAATAGAGGTGGAGCAATTTCGGATTCTGCTAGAGCATTTAAGGAGCAATTAATTGGCATACAGTTTAATTTAAAAAAAAGTAGATATTTTATACTTTATAGCAAAATTAAATTTTTGATACTTAATTTTTTTTTAATTAACTAATAACAATAGTAATTAATTGGCATATAGTTTAGTTAAAAAAAAGAATGTTCTACGCTAACTTCCATCTGGTACTTCCGTCACATATAGCTTAGGTGGGAATAATTTTCTTCAGTGAGTCTCAATCATTGATATAAGAAAAAGTACCTAGGTATAAATATATTATTATAGAAAGTTTCTTTTACACACAAATCTTTTATTACTCTTTCTGAGATTTTATGGCGCCATTGAACAAATTAGAACCTACATTTCAAAATAATAATCATCTTTCCATAGAAATAACCAATTTTAAAAATTAAAATGCAGATGTGTGTTACCCTTGAGGACTAAGATGGAATGCCTCGTTTCCAGTAAAAATGGTCTCCGGTTCTCTACACTTACCATACGAAACAGCGTTAACCTGCTATTTTACGCTGATATTCTGTGAGAGCGTGGTCCTACCCCGGTCGAGCGAGCCGACGCATTCGTAACATTTCATAACTATACCACTAATATAGCTGCAGCGTGGCTCTACCACGTACAACGATGTGATGTACGAGATGTGAGGAAGAAAATGGTTCATGAGCTGAGTACTCAACGCATAATTGGAGTTACTAAAAGATAAAAAAAATATTTTACATACTTTTTCGTATGCCATAAGAATGATATAACGAAGTTTTCTCAAGAACGAACAAAATATATTTTTTCTTATTATTTTAATAGTCTTCGTAGCTGAGGTCGTATAGAATCTTGTTTTCTTTTACTTTTTGGAAAAATAATTCAAGGTTCAATGGCATTCCGAAAAATCAGGCACTATCTCGTGTATATTTCGCTGCAGCACGTGCAACTATTCGTGCCAATGTGAACACCTCCAAACCTCCATACTAGTTAGTTGACGCAATCAGCAACGCGCGGTATTCTCCTGAATTTCTACGAAGCTTTAAATGTGTAAATAAATAAAATCACGTTGAAAAACCAAAGGTTTATTTTTTAATTTGTCTTAATCCTAATTGTATCCGTAGGATTTGATGACGGTTGTGAACGGCGTCGTCGCTTTTGCTACCGCCTCACTGGCATCCTTGGTGATTTTCTATAAGATGAGAAAAAATACTAGCATGAATATTATGTATTTTCTATTGTGATCACTCTTTTAATAATTTTAATAATCAGAATGAATAATTTTTCATGGCAGTCAAATAATGTAGGTAAGTTGATTAATAATCATCATACTGTCTGTATTGACTTTATTTTAATTCTTTTAATGAATTTGATATGAAAGGATTTATCATTAACCATTTGCCAACATTGCCAGATGGAGTAATCTGTAAGATGATGCATAGACATGGGAGTTTTCAGATTTTAACGCAAACCGTTTTATATCGGATTTTAGATTTTGAAATTAATTACATAATCCGTTTTTAAAAATCGGTGTCATAAATATCTTTCGCTAATCCATATTTTGGATTTTATTAGCGAATGACTAACAAAAACGAACATTTTTGGATGTATTCTTCGGTTTAGATATTAGTGTGTGTAGATTTATAAGTAAATAATTAGGTCGATATTACTACATGCTTTATCTAATCTTAAGACTAGCAACAAGATTTTTAGGTTCTTTATTCTATGTATTTACGGTAATTAAGTAATATTTAATTCTCGAAAGCATAATAATTTACAATAAGTTTTATGGACATATGATGCACACTTGGATATTATAGTACTTTTGCTTTATCTAATGCATACCTATATCAATGGCAATGCTGGCAATATTGCTGAGCTATAGTTCTCAGGAAGATTTCCAACAAGATGTAATTTTTATAGCACATTTACAAGTCTTTCTAAATTAGATTTTACTAGCATTTATTTGTTCTTTAAAAAGAAGTATTGTTGTAATGAATTAAAACACTGAAAATATTATTTACCTTTAATTTTCTTTCATAGGAGACTTTGCGAATGGTATTCTGCTTCCTCTTGTCTTCCAACTTGCGGACAACATCACGGTACTTCCATCCCACTTCATGCGATAAGCGGCCAACATGACAGTACTAAAACATAAAATATAATTTTGATTATGGCTAAATTAAATAAACATACTAAAATTAATTACAAAAAATTATCAGAAATTCTTTTGAACGCAACATTAGTGTTTACTTTCAGTCGCAAATTACCCATTCACAAAACATCATTTAAAACCATGTAGACTGGTTTGGATACATTAAAATTTTAAGCAGAATCAGACTATTTTAACACACAGCGTGATTAAATTTTATATTAGGAAACAAAACACAAATTCATAATAAATGGTTAGAACTACGATTCTTTTACTGAATAAAAACATGGGGTGTGTTTTACAATAGACACCAAGGGACAAGATTTTTACAATATTTTTTACTTGGTCGATTTATGGTTTTAATGAAATTACAATTATCTCAACATAATAATGACATCATTTGCTGGTGTTATGATACATTTTCTATACAACAAAACCTTGGGTGGATCTTTATAGAAATGTGTCAGTTTACATCAATCAAGATTGAGATGCTAATAGAAGAAAATTCTAGTAGAAGGATGGCTATTGTTAATGGCTGTATTCTATTATTTAAAGGGAACATCTAAAGATGCGCGGTAGATTTACCTTACGGCCGGGTTTCAAACAAAAAACTCTCAGAGCTGCCGGTACTACGACTCGGCGGCGATTGTCATAAGGTCGTGGGCAGCCATCATAAGCTCGCAGCCTTCTGAGTGCATCCTTTCCACGCTCAGTCTTGTGTGGGATCATGCCTGGAATATTTAAAGACATGTTATTGGTTTAAATATTCTTAAGTATTTTTAATCTTAGCATGTATAAATAACTTCATAAAATTTGTTTTATCATAAACATCAAATAATGTAGGTAAAATTTATATATAATCATCAGCATTCATTCAAAAATTTTAATTTCCCCCATGTATATTGAAAATAGTTCTAAATCTTTAGCAAATGAATCTTTTATAAGAAATTCAGATACTAAAATCCATAAAAGAAAAAGTAAAGAGTTGTGGTGTAAGAGGTGATACATGTGTTTTTATTGGGTGTGGGTGTGACAGGTATCAGTTTCCGGTCATTGAGTGGGGAAACCATGTGGCCATATCATTGATAATAATTGTTTGTCTTAATATTACAAACAAACAAAAAAACTACAAAATAGAGCATTATTATTGCAATAAAAAACAAAGGTATTTTTTTATATTATTATTTCTTTGTACATGGTAATAACATGGCTGAAGCATGAATGAGTCAGCTTGACAAGGGGAGGACCACAATAGTGTAGAAACTCAGCATCAAACAGAAACAGAAACTTTTTTTATTCAATATAGACTATAAATAACACTTATTGAAAGTCACTCTTTTGTTTGATTACCACTGGTTCGGAAAAAACCTGTCCTGGGAAGAACCAGCAAGAAACCCAGCGGGACTTTAGTAAAAAATAGTAGCATAATGCTGTTGTTTCATATGGTGAGAGATACCCTTTTTTCTGGTAAAGAAAAATTTCATCATACTACTTTCAGGAGTTACAACACAAACATGTGTATTTTGATGCTAATAGAGTACTGATGTAGGTATCTATGGGCATGCATCCACTTACCATCAGGTGGACTGTGTACTATTTAGTTAGTAGCCCTACTACTATTAAAAATCTTTCATATTTGGGCGACAATATTACTAATTCAATTGGCTTTGTCAAAAGTTTAGAGACAATTTTCAAAAATGTCAAAATATAAATCATTACCTATTACAAAAACTAAAACTGACTGCAATAAACTAATATAAGAAAATATGTAATTATGTAAATTATATATATGTTCAATGTATTTTTTTATTATTTATATTAGTCTTCTTAGATATTTGTTGGTTGTTTTGTTAATCTTTTCATCAGATTCAATACACCATACCTATTTTGTAAGCTGGCAAACATTAGATAGTTTATGTCTTGCCATTTGAATGATTCATTATCAACTTATATGTGGTTAAGTTGATAATGAATCAATTGAGATTCAAATGGCATAGCAAAGTCCAGTCTAAAATACATGTCAATGATTTGAAGTGTATGTTTATATTGTGTGAGTTCCCTGTGGCTGTCCAATCTATATATGCATAGTGACTTGCCAAAGTTACCACACTTGGCAGTTGGGTTGACAAATACGAGGGGCGATCCAAAAGTAATGATAATCGGTTACTTCATGTCCGCATAAAAATTAAAAAAAATATATTTTTTGCTTGCTTATTTACTCACTACGTCAGCCTAAAAAAATCATATAAATAGATCACGATTTCCGGGAGATACATTCATTTGAATACGAACTGTCAAAGAGATAACATCAACATGGAGAAAAACAAAATTAGAGCTGTCATCAAGTACCTCTGTTTTAAAAAAATGTCTTCAAAAGACATACACAGTGACTTAGTGGAAACATTGGGGGACTCTGCTCCTACATATTCTACAGTTGCACGCTGGGCTAAGGAGTTTAAACTGGGCAGAACATCCACTGAAGATGAACATCGCGAAGGACGCCCATCCACGTCCCTCACTGAAGACAATGTGAAAAAAGTCGAAGATAATGTGTTGGCAGATCGAAGAGTGACCATCAGGCAAGTAGCTGAGGTCACAGGGATCTCATATGGCAGCGTTCAATGAATCCTTGCAAACGAGTTGCATATGAAAACGGTCTCTGCGCGTTGGGTACCCAGAATGTTAACCGACGAGCAAAAGAAAAATCGAGTTGACATTTCGAGGGTTAATCTCGAAAAGTTCCAAGGAGATCAAGAAAATTTTTTGTTCCGTTTTGTGACTATGGACAAGACCTGGATCCACCATTTTGATCCTCACTCGATGACTACAACAATCGATGACTTGGAAGGGAGCCTCCTCACCGATGCCAAAGAAATTCAGTTTCAAGTTTGGCGGGAAAGGTTATGGCATCTATTTTTTGGGACACTCAAGGCATAATTATGGTGGAATATTTGGAATAGGGAGCCACTATTACGGACTCTTACTACGCAGACCAAATAAGAAGATTACGGGAGGCCATTAAGGAAAAAAGACGCGGCAAACTGTGAGCTGGAGTGCTGTTTCACCAAGACAACGCACCAGCTCACAAAGCCGCAGTTGTGATGGCTGCCATTCAAGAAACGGGATTCGAACTGCTCGAACACCCTCCTTATTCGCTAGATCTAGCTCCTAGTGATTTCTACCTCTTTCCTCAGCTCAAGGAACGCCTCCGAGGCAAGAAATTTGAAGACGATAGCAAAGTAATGGCCGCTGTTGAAGCGTTTTGGGAGAGTCAAGACAAAGAATTTTTTTCAAAGGGAATCCTGGGTTTAGAAAAAGATGGACTAAATGTATTGATTTGTTAGGAGACTATGTAGAAAAAAGATTTATTATTTTAACTTTAATTAACGTGTTTTATTTTCATTATCATTACTTTTGGATCACCCCTCGTAGTTTATTTTTTTGTTGTTATTAGTAAGACACTACTGCCCATCTACTGGTTCATTTTCCTACGTCGCCGGTTACGACACCCACATGATATATATGGTAGTAGATATTCTTAAACAACCACTTACAGAATATACACCTCCATTCCTATTACCCATTTACTAGTTTTATTTGCGATACCCATATATACTTTATTCACCAAAATATTTTTTACTTCCCCTATTTTTCAACATCTCATGTGTTAAAATCCCAAAGTGAACCAAATAAATGGACATTAATTGGCCTTATCGTTATGGAAGTGTGGTGGAGAACTTCTTTTTAATTGGAATAAAGGTGACAAATGAGCACAGTCTACAGGTAAGTGTATGCTGTGGCCTCGACATCTACATTTATCCTTGATTAAGAATCAAAATGCAGATGGGTAGTCACCCTGGAGTACTGAGTTGGAATGCCTAGTTTTCAGTAAAAGGGCATCCGGTTCTCTACATAATCACCATACAAAAACACATTTAAGCTGGAATTTTGTGAGTGTGCTCCTACCCCAGTCGAGCCTACCAGTTTGTGCTACAACCATAATATAGCTGCAGTGTGGCTTCTCTAACACATAATATATTCAGATAATCAGAGATTTTTCTTTCTTATTCTGTAAAGGTGTGTTTGTGAGCCTATTGAATGTTTGTCCAATATTCAATTATAAAGTGTTTGGGCATATAGTAAATCTTCTCCATAATATTCATTTTAAATTATATCAAATGCTAGTATGAAAAAAAAAAAACAGACTGTTACTCTTAATAACAACAGTACCTAAAAACTTCCGGAAACTGAAAATCATCAGTATTTGTAAGTTTTTAGGTTTGATTGTATTGTGATTGTTCTCATGTCAACTCTATTATGACCTCTCTCTGCATAAAGTCTAACTTTATTACAAAACATTTTGTCAGCCATAGGTCAGTCAGGCAGGTAAAGATGAGTTAATAAGTAACTGTTTATTCATTTACTTAAAAGAGGGCAACAATATCTTTTATCTGCAAAATCAAACAAATTTATCAAACACTTACCCCTTACAGTTTTCCAAAGAATCTTGGAGGGGGCTCTGAAGTGGAATGGTCCACGAGCAGGGTTAACATTGCACCGCTTGCGCAGGAATGACATAAACTTCAACTTGTTCCTAATAAAAATATTGATTTATTATAAAACATATTAATCCATATTACCAAATGATAAAGGTACTTTTTAAAAATCAGACATAATCTAACAACATGTGAATATTCAGTCGCAAATTACCCAAAAGAAATACATCATTAAGACACTATATATTCATCATCATATCAGAACTTAAAGTATAAAGTAATTACCAACCTGAAAAAGTTGCCAGAGATGTTAAGTTGTTCACAACGAACAACAACCACTTTGTTTCCTTCCAACAGAACCTTTGCAATAACTGCAGCCAAACGGCCAAGCAGATGGCCGCGGCCATCAATGACAACGGCCTGAAACATCGGGAAAGTGTTAAAATATATTTAATATCGACATAAGGCTATATCAGATAACTGACGAATCTCCTAACCTCAAACAGAAAATACCATACCTTACGTTCAAAGAACGTGCACATATCATTTTGGGAACTTAATACTTATATGCAACTGGCTATATTATTAACAAATTTGCTTACTTTTATTTAGATTTATATATAAGAACATGAAAATAAAAAGTTAGCACGTGTATAAAATGCTGGAGTAATATTATAAAAAATTTGTACGTAAATTTCTCTAAAAACACATGACAATTCAATTATAAATTTATTTTTAAGCTCGTTAACTAGAAGGTGGTTAAATAAACGCACAAAAATAATTATTTTATCTCACCTTATTACTAAAGCCCGTCATATTTCACGACAACAAAACGGAAAAGAATAACTTTTTAAATTAACATGGCTACCGGATATTCAAACAGATCATAAAGATGTGTTCAGAAATAAACAAAGTAATCTATTGCTTAATAAAGCCGTTATGAGTTCTGTAACACTTTCTTTTGACTTTAATAAAGGAATCATAGAAACAAGGACTATATTTTTATATTTTATTATTGAAGTAATGCTAAATTCCTTACTTTAATACTAAAATACAAATAAAACCATTGTTATGAACCTAAATTATTTTGAATATTGAAAAAAAGTATAATATTTAAGATATCATGAACCGTATTACTATTTACGAAATGTTATAAATCCATGCACACCTGAGCACACAACATTTATTCTATAATATAAAGTATGCAAATATTATAAATCAAATATAAATTTAAAAAAACAGTAGGAATGGAGTGTGTATGTAATTAAAAATCCACTGAAACAACGTTGAAATATTATGACATTCCCATTGATTTTTTATTTTTGAGCATTATCAATTGATTAAGGGCTCGCCATGTATATTCTATAAAAACAAAGCTATTAAAATATCAAGCGTCACGCGAGCTACATATGCATGTCATTAGGAAATCACGTACTATACAGCACCGCCTGCTAAGCAAATAAAGGCACGGCTTTAAAGGCGTAACTCAATTCGATTATTGAATTGCAATGCAACAGCATGGCTTGACCACGTATTGACGTGGTAGAGCCATGCTGCAGCTATATTCATAGTATAGTTGTAGCACGAATGGGTCGGCTCGAACGGGGAAGGACCACGCTCTCACAGAATACCATTGTAAAATAGCAGCTAAATGCTGCTGTGTTTCATATGGTGAGTGTAGAGAACAGGAGACCCATTTTACTGGAAAAGAGGCATTCCATCTTAGTGCTCACGGCTGACAACGCATCTGCATTTTAATTCGCAAACGAAGATAGATGTAAATGTCTATGGGCCGAGGCAAACACCATCAGGTGGGTTGTGTGCTAGTTTGTCACCCTTATACTATATAAAAAAAAAAACAAAAAAACCTTATTCTTCTTAGGAAGTGGTGTGCCTTTATGCCACTGCATTGACTCTTGCTTTGACTCAGGTGAAGTTTGACCCAAATTTCATCGCCAGTTACAATTCTGGCCATAACTTCCTCCATTTGCTCTCCACAGTGGTCCAAAACTCGCGACAACTTTCGACTTACTTGTGTTTTTGATGTACAGAAAACATTCTCGGAACCCATCTTTAAAATGGTTGTTTCTGATACTCCAACTAATAGTGCAAGCTGTTTTTTCTTTAGCCGGGCATCTTCCGATAAAAGATTTTCAACTTTTTCGATTATTTCTGGCGTGGTAGCCTCAATCGGGCGTCCAGGTCGGGGGTAGTCTTCAATGGAGTCCCTCGCTTGTTTGAAAAGGGCGTGCCATTTATAAATCATGGTTTTCCCAGGAGCGGAGCCCCATAAACAGCTGACATCTCTTGAAAAATGGTTTGAGGTGTCTTTCCTTGTTTGGTGAGAAACTTAATGACGGCGCGATATTCAATTTTCTCCATAGTGACTAGTTTCTTCCCGATTGACTTGTTTACTCGTTGATAACTAAAGATAATGACCCGATTAGGCTGAAACTTGGTATATATACTAACAATGAGTCACTCAACTAGCGCCTACCTGGGTGAGTAAACTCACTCTTTATTTATTTATTTATTTATTTAGGTACACAAAACAGAATAACATCAAAACATAAACAATTGAACATAATAAATGCAAAATAACAATCTGGATGGTATTCCAAAACATGTGCACACAACATGATATTAGGTTACAGTAACGAGTTTACAGCGCAAATAATTATAATCTTACTTATAAACTTAAGTTGTGGAAAATTTAGAAAAATTAATTCTTTATTAAAAATATTGCCTTATTTACAAAGTATATCTAATACAGATTTTTTGAAATTGTTTACTTTGCCATTAAATATGTCGATATTTTTACTATTATTAATAAATAAGTCATTGTAGAGGCGACACATTCTTACTAGAGGATTATAATAGGACGTATTATTTCTGTAAACTTGCAAAACAAAAGTGTTTAGGAAAGTATAGCGACGATGGGGCTTAGTATTAATCTTGACAGATGAAAGGAGGGTGGGGGAATCAATAAGGGAATGAATAATTTTGAAAAGGCAAGTCATATCCTGATATTTACACCGGGTTTGTAGTGACATAATGTTAAACTTCTTAAGTTTGTCTTCATACGAGGGCAGACTTCTATTTAAACCATACCTATAGCACAAGATTGATAGAATTTTTTTTTGAACACGTTCGATACGATCTATGTGGACAGCGTAGTATGGAAACCAAATAATTATGTTGTACTCTAAAATACTGCGTACTAGAGAACAGTACAAAATGAGAAAGCTTCGCGGATTTTTAAAAGTCTTGGCAGCTCTGAATATAAAACCAAGAAGTTCTGTACTTTTAGATACCACATGATCGTAATGATCGCGGAACGTAAGCTTTTCATCAAACAGTATTCCAAGATCCTTAACTACGGATTTTCTATCAAGTACCTGTCCATTTATTTTGTAATCAAAAGTAAGCCTGTGTTTCTTATTGCTAAATGATATGACAAAGCATTTTCTTGTATTTAGATGCATGTAGTTTTCTTTACACCAATTATGAATGGAGTCTAAATTCGACTGAAGATTGGACGAATCGCTGGGTGTATCGATAACAGAAAAGAGCTTCAAATCATCTGCATACAACAGGCATGGACATGTTAATTTATCAATGAGATCGTTGATAAATGTTATAAAAAATAAAGGACCTAAATGGGACCCTTGTGGCACACCCGATGTCACAGGGGCGGGTGAGGATTTGAAACATTTTATAGTAACTAACTGACTCCTCCTGTTGAGGTATGATTCAGTCCATCTCAACAGATTCCCATGTATTCCGTAACATGATAATTTGATACATAAAATATTATGATTTACTTTATCAAATGCTTTCGAGAAATCGGTATATATACTATCAACCTGTTTTCTCTTGGCGAAGGCACTACAAAGATAGTGTTTGTATTCAAGTAAATTAGAAGTTGTCGATCTGTTCTTAATAAAGCCATGTTGTCTGAGCGACAGGAAGGGTTGAATATGGTGGTAAAGAGAATCATACACCAATGATTCAAACAATTTACCGAGGCAAGACAAGATACTAATGGGTCGATAATTTTCGCAATTAGACCTGTCGCCGGATTTATAAATCGGAACGATATGAGCTATTTTCCATACTGAAGGAAAAACACCTGTCTTAATGGATGCATTGAAAAGAATACATAAGGGATTACTTAATTCCTTACCGCATTTCTTAATCAATAAAGGAGGAAGACCATCCGGTCCAGGGCCTTTTTTTTTGGTCTAGTTTCGAAATCTTTTGCTGTATTTCTTCTTGTGTGATTACGATATCACTTAAGATACAATTACTACGATTGGATGATTCATTATGAGAATGTAAACTAGGTTCCACTGGATTTACAAAGACGGAACTGAAATAATTAGAGAAAAGCTCACATATTTCTTTTTCATCGGATTAGATGTGATTACCATATTTCATCGTTTTGGGAATGCTATTAGAATTATTTTTCTTATCGTTAACAAAACGCCAAAAGAATTTTATGTCATCATCTAAAGAAGATTCGACAGACGAAACAAAATTTTTATAGTCATTACTAATAAGTTTTTTACATCTGTTGCGTAACATGGAAAATGTATCATAATCCCGAGGATTCTTATATTTTTTGAAACGACGATGATATTTTCGCTTTTCTTTTAAGCTTTGCTTCAAAGCAGGTGTGAACCATACTGGATAAATGTTTGTGTCACTTTTCGTCATAGGTGTATGTTTTGTAATAATATTCCTGACCCCTGCATAAAATGCGTCAGTCATACTATCAATATCTTCATGAGTTGACAATATATTATGCCATTCAACTGATTTTAATTCAAGATTTATTTTTGGAAAATTACTTTTGAACAAATTAGGTCGTTTTAGGTTTTTGTTCTTAAAGTTATTTGAGTTTATTTCAACAAAATTTACATCTGCAACTAATGAGGGGTGGTGGTGATCTAAGCGGCTCAATGGCTGCACTTCATAAACCTGAATGCTGTTCGAACTGAAAAGAATTAGGTCTAAAAATCGTCCGTCACTATTTGGTATACTGTTATAATTATCAAGATTACATATTCTAAGGGTATCGCAAAGCAGATTAGCTTTTTGACCTCGCGGATGAAGAGGAATCATATAATTATATTGAGATGATTTAGACCAGTGAACATCGGGTGTATTGAAGTCACCTATGCAAAGAAATTCTTCTGTGTTACGATATCGCATAATTACGTTTGGACAGTTTGTATAAAATTTATCGATGCAGTCTAAAGGCAGATCTGGTGGAAGATAACATAGACAAATATTAATAATCTTAACATTAGTGGTTTTAGGCAATATGCTAATCCACAAGTCTTCCAGTTCACTATTCCAGGAATCTTGATGGATAAAATTTATTTCTTTTTTTACGGCAATTAAGATTCCCCCGCCCTCGGCTTTACGTACATTAGATTGATATCTGTCGCGCCTTACAACATTATAACGAGTGTCAATGAGTTCACCGTCAAAAATAGTACTATTCAAGTTTGTTTCAGTTAGACAGATGATGTCGTATTCATTATTAAGTACATTTAGGTAGAACTCTTTTGTTTTGGATCTAAAGCGATTAACATTTTGATAGTAAATCAACATTATACAATAGTAAAATTACAAAATACATAAACCAAGTATAGCAAAAAAAAAAAGACAAATAATAATATTACGAAAGCTTCTTTAAGCAATCCATATTTCTGATGTGTATGCAAGCCGCAGTGTCTTCCTTACGGATATATATACGCCCGTACTTAACCCATACATATTTATATTTCTTTTCCTTTGCAAATTTTCTAGCTGCAGCATGAAGTGCCTTACATTCCGGAGAAAGGTGTTCAGTCACATACATTTTTCGCTTTTCACAATGTAATCCGATGTCATTAGTATTCAAGGGATTGTCTTTGTGGGCTTTATTATAACGATAACATGCGGAGAGAACTTGATCCCTTAAACGTGGGTTAATGAGAGTTACAATAATATTTCTAGGGCGATTGGAGGAGGTTTCGTATTTGGCAACTCTACGGCAAGAATGAATGTTCTCATCGTCTATTTGAAGATCTACAGTTTTACACAGGTTGCGGAATAAAATCATTGGATTTTCATTTCGACTTTCTGGAACTAACTGAATTTCTAAATTCTTGTTACGGGATATTTTTTCAATAGATGTTAAACGATTGGTTAGAACATTAATCTCCTTTTGAAATCGAAGAGTTTCAGATTCTAGGTGTTTTATTATATGACTCTTATTCTCAATTTCTTGCTTTAAGGAAGACTGTTCATCACATATAAAGTTAGTGGTAACAGTAAAGTCGTGTTTAAGCTGCTGCACCATTGAGTACATCTCTGCTTGAACAAGGTTTTTAACGTCATCTTTCAATGATTTTCTAAAACTTTCCACGAAATCCGATAGATAATTATTAAGTTTTTTATCCAACAAGGTACTAATTTTGCCCATGGTGACGAGATTGTCGTCATTTGCCGAAAATAATTGGGAATCCGTTAATGAACAGCATGAATTTTCAAGGGACGAATTCATTGAATTCTCTACGAGTGGTACTAGCGTTTGTTGGACAGGCGTATTGACACTGGACCGTTTACGTTTAGTTATATTAGTACAAGAAGGACACATCCACTTAGATTTATATTCAGTAGTTAATGCCGTAAATTGTTCTTTTTTTAAATTTAAGCATTCAATATGATATTTTAAATGACACTGATTACATTCCAAGCAGCGGTCTGTGCGAAGTATCTTCTTGTTACAGGCGGAGCAATTCATATTAATTGTTATATTAATCACAAACTAAGATTTTTCGTAATTAATGTTAAAGAATAACAAAAAGTCCTCAGCTGGTTGGATTCTATCTAGCGTTTCATATACTTAACTTCCAGTTGCGTAAGCCACAGCGCCAATCGTTCGCTAATATGCTATCCGAATTAGCGATACACTTCTCGGAGATCAAATAGCGTTAAGTGTAAGAGACTTATAAATTTGTTGCAAAATAAACAACTGCCCGCAACTTTAAAAATATAACTAAGGTGCTCACAAAGTTTTTGGAATATTTCTATCACAATTTAACACGAAAGCACGGGATGATTTAACCACTCGAATACCAGTGAAACACTGCATCTATTGATATTAATTTTGAATAGATATAAACACTAGATATAATTATTTTATTTAATAAACTAGGAGTAAATGAAACCGTTACTGTCGACTGATAATTGCCTCCAAGACAATCTCTCGCTAACCCCGCCATTCCGCGAACTTTTTGACCTCCTCTCGTAAGATGAAATACCTCTTTCTCAGTAAAAAGGGTCTCCGATTCTCGACACTCACCATACGAAACACGCGGATCGCGGATATCTCCTCGTTGATGTTTTCTTTTAATTGGGATACATTTGTTGATTTACTAAATTACACTCGACTTTTGAGGTATCCCCCACAAGAAAAAATCGCAAGATGTAAGATACGGGCTTCTTGGAGGCTGTGGAATATCACCTCTGCGAGAAATCAATTTGTTAGGAAACATTTCTTTGACAACCGGTAAAGTCACATTTGACGTATGGCATGTTGCTCCATCTTGTTGCATCCAAGTCGTGGTGTTGTATCCTTCAAACTCATGTAACTGTGGCGTCAGAAACACTCGCAACATCTTCACGTATTCCACTGAGTTCACAGGTACGTTATTTTCTTGATTATTTTCATAGAATTACGGGCCCCTTATGCCTGTTGCTGATATGGCAGCCCATACTGTCGTTTTAGGTGAAGGAAGAAGCCTTTGGTGTTTAAGGCGAGGATTTTCTCTGCTCCAATATCGACAATTGTGTTTGTTATGTGCCCATTGATGTGCCAATGGGCACATAACAGCAAGAAACAAGAAATGCTAGATTTCATCAAAAATAACAATCTTTGATATTTGGAGAACACGAAGAAAGCAGAATTATACGAAATTATAAAAATAATTATAGATGATGTCTACATAATTGATGAAATTTTACAGAGGCTCCAAATTCAGAAAGTTGAAATCAATCATCAGACAGTATTTCATGGCAGCACACTGCCTGCAACTTTACAAGCCGTAGGTACAGCCTCACATGGAATACTGTTCCCATCTCTGGGCTGTGACTCCCCAGTGCCAGCTCCAATTACAGGTGAGCCGTATGCTCGTTCGCCTCCTCTCCTATAAAAATATACTCGTATTTCATTGGAACTTTGACCACTTTTACGCTGTCGTTCTTTTTTAAGTTCTTGGCCAAAGTGGGTTTTTAAATTGTGTAGCTTTCTACTAACCTCCATATTAGTTGTGTTGAATTCCACCGTCAAATATTGCAACGTTAAATTTTTTTTCGGTAGTCGTTGCATTTCGTATCCCATAATTCTCTGTATTGTTCATACTTACTACTACTACTCTATTAGCCGCACAGTTTCATCCTGCGTCCAAGCTTTTATTCCTGACATCTAGCTCAGTAATCTTAAACTTTTATTTGCAAGCAAAATAAACCGTAAGTTACCGCCAGAAGTTTCAAAATGGTATTTACACTTGCGACTTGCGGCAAGTCCTGCAACTTACAAAACTTGCGGAAGTGAGCTTGAAGTGATTGTTTACACGGTAGGAATAGTTCGCATAAGTCAACTTCTGTAAGTTTTGTTGCTTATAAATCTTGCTTTAGGTTGGTCCACAAACTATAAACACTCACGCGCGTGCGTTTGTTTATGGTCTACACTTACATCCTATATTACATGCTCAGAAGAGCTAGAACCCAGAGCAGTAAAGCCAGTTATTTAAAAAAAACTCTTAAACTGTCATATTGACAAATGACAATGTCACTTAATTGCTGAAATTTGGAAATCTGAAACTTATTCTGACTTATTCAAAATACATTCGGACCTAAGGGTATTAGTGTTCTGTGTTCGGAATTCGGAAGTTTTTATGCCGCGTTTTGTTCTCTTGGTAGCTACCATATGATTAATTAATTGCATTGTACATTATACTTGTAGTGTAATGCAAAATTTGAACTTACCGGCCACGTCAGACTTGGCAAAGTTATTTATAATAATATAATATAGGTACAGTCTTATACTACTATCTAGCAACACCTCAATATAGAATAAGTTCTGTGAGTTATATTCAAAGAAAATGGTATTTAAATTATTTATGAATATTTGAGAAAAAACATGGAGATTCCATACAGAAAGCTTATAATATATGTTTTAACGTTTGTTGCCTATGCTTACTCAGGCGTAGGTTCAAATATATTACGAAATTTGAAAGATGCAGTTTTATCAGCTGAATCAGTGTTTGGAGATATGTTACGAAATGTCATAACAGTAGCTGAAAAATTTCGATCATTGCATGACATATTTGATGCAGCTGTGGAAGAGGATTGCATATTTAGTTGCCCTGGTGGTTAGTAAAGTATGATTCTATCTGTATTTAAAATAAGAAATATGATTGAATTGTATTCATTGGTGTTATGAAGACAGAAAATCATTTATAATTATTTAAAGTTTTTTTTTATAGCATAGGGTAACAAACAAGCGCATAGTCCACCTGATGGTAAGTGGATGCTGTGGCTCATAGACATCTACATTTATTCTTAATTAAGAATCAAAATGCAGATGCGCTGTCACCTCTGACGAATAAGATGGAATGCCTCGTTTCCAGTAAATAGGGTCTCCGGTTATCTACACTCACCATAAGAAACACAGCAGCATGAAGCTGCTATTTTAAGCTGGAATTCTGTGAGAGTGTGGTCCTACCCCAGTCGAGCCAACCCATTCATGCCACAACCATGGTATAGATGCAGTGCTGGTTCTGCCACGTATAACAGAGAAAAATGGAGTATAACTAGTGAAGATGAAATTAGGGTGAATAAAGTTGTGTTTATTTTTAGGTCAAAAGCCAGTGAGAAACAAGATTCACATACCTAAATCAGATGGATGTGGATCGTTAGGATTTGATGTATATTCTGGATATTTACCACTTGAGGAGATGACAAAATGTTGTGATGCACATGATATTTGCTATGACACATGTAATAGTGGTAAAGAGATTTGTGACTTGGAATTCAAAAGATGCTTGTATAACTACTGTGATACATACAAATCTGTCAATTTAGCAGGAGATACTATTACCAAAGGTAACATCCAAAATATAATACAATATGTATTTTCAGCTGGTTGTATATTAATTTTTGGTGATTTCTGGATCTCATCAACAGCTGTCTACCTATGGGTCTAATTGTGAATTTAATCCATCCATGACCCACTTAAAACACACTCAAAAGATTTCATCAGAATTGGTTGAGCCACTTAAGAGTTTAGTGAGACTAATGAATATGAATTAATTTTTATATAGTAAATGTATAGTAATGTATTTGTTTTAAAACGTTAATGTAAAAGTTTAGAGACCCCACAGTTGGTTGAAATTTGGACTAGTTATAAAATGGTCATATGCAATTACAGAAGCAATTATACAAATATACATTTTTACTACATAGCTGTACTACATAGTCTACCTAACACTATTTCAGTCAAATTACTTTCTGTATTCCAAGTAATGACTACACTTGACAAATTATTTAAGGGTGATCATGTGAGTCGCTCATGAGAATTGTTTAGTATCCAAAATACTTTTCCTTTTTAAGGTTATAATTGGGTTATTTCCACAACAATAATGGCCTTTGCTTACTTGCCTGCTAGTCAATCACAAGTATAGACCATATACCAACAATTATGAATTAATTATTATGAATAGATAATTGCTCCAAATTTAAAATATTAATACTTGAAATACACAAAAATATATTTAATAAAACTAAATATTAATGTTATTTACTAAGTTGTTAATGAGTATAAAACAATTATGTGTAATTTCTATTTACAGACAAATATGAGTGGATGAAATACCTATGTAACAACCTTATCTGTATATAAAAAAAGAAAAATTAATAACAATCTTATGATAACTAAATAATAATATAAATTATTGTTATCAGGAAGATGCTGCTACCAGTCTCGTATTTCAGTTTCTTTCTGTTGCCTCTTATGATACATGAAGTTCATTTATACAGTCAAGACTAATAAAAGGCCTATATTTAATTAAAATAAAACAGCAACCTTACATGAAAACTGAATAAGTTTGTACAGACTGAGGTTTCCCCAGTAACTTTGGTTTTTAGAATAAAAATGTTAAGCTCTAAGGATGATTTAATTTGGAAAGAAAACTGATTTTAATATAACTTCTTAATATCTTAGCTCCTCTAAACAGTGTTAGCTACATGCAGGTTTGCTGACATCACTCCTCACACTTCCACCGGGTTTGTCTACTTAGTACTGATATCGCCTCAAGCAACAGACATAATCCTATTCGCTAATTTAGTGCAGGCGGGTTGTACAACCACTCTCCAAAGATTAATTGTGATTGCATGTCAGCTAACATGTAGCACATTTTGATTATTTTAATTGTATATTGTTGAAAATTAATTAAACCTTAAGTAATTTACAAAAAAAATATTTCTTTAAGGGTTTTTAGCACACATTTTCATAAGAGAACTGAGACATTTGACATTAGGGATGTTCGATGATCATCAATGTTCAATTATCATCGATGTCAAAAATGAAAACATTGATGTTGCCACATGTCAAACATCGAAACATCGATGTCAATATACCCATAATCGATTATTGGGTACTTGTAAACACTGCGAACCCGCGAAATCAATATCAACTAAATCTTGCATCTCCTCTAAAATATTTCAAATTTTGCATAATTTAGAATGCTTGAATGCATCAATTACCAAAAAATATGTCATTATGGTCTTCGATCAACAATATTGATTGAAGATTATGGTGTATCAAATTTAACTGTCAAGTGTCTACTGTAATGTTGCAGTTGTTACTGATTACGTTTTGTTATTGGTGTTGTTATTAGTTGTCTGTTTCTTTGTTGGTTGTTTTTAAAAAAAAAAACCGATGGTTGATCTTAAAGACAATTCAATGCACATTTAGAATAATGTTATTGGTTCTACCTATATAAAATAAAAAAAAAAACTTGCGGGTATATATTTGACCATAAACGCTACATCAACGCCATCTGAGCGGTTATCTACCGATTTCAAAAAAGAGGGCGGTACTCAATTCGAATGTATGTTCTTTTTTTTAATGTGTGTTACCTCATAACTTTTTTTGGGTGAACTGATTTCGATGATTCTTTTTTTTTATTTGAATGCTGGTGCTTCGTCATGTGGCCCCCATATAAGTCTGACCAATAGTTTTTGCGTTATCCTTAATAATTTATATTGAAGAAAGTTGTACAAATTTTTTATTTTTAAATTATTTTCAATAGCTGCTTTAACTCTTTATCAACAGCGAAACAGATTGAAAGGTACTTCTTTGTCAAAATTACTATTTCTTCAATCAATCGGCAAAATATTGGACTATATAACAAATGAACCAGATATTTGTGAACTTCTTCCATTTTTTTAATTACTGTTTTAACACTACATTGTTTATTAATTTCTTTTATTCCATTAATTATAAATCATAAACAAAATGACAATTTTTTTATTCATCTAATTCTAACCTATTAAATACATATGCAAAAAACATTGATAATGGCCAACATCGATGTTTAGAATAAGATAAACATCGAACATCGATATTGAGCTATCGACGTTAACATCGATGTCATCATCGATGTTTCTACAACATCGATCATCCCTATTTGACATCTTGGTGTTACAGTTTAACCTGGAATTCCTTCAGCTGTTGTAAAGAATTAATTTCAGTACAATCTACGCAGATTGAGTTACGACTTTGAGTAGAGTCTAACTCTGGTTGCTATATTTTTTTTATATAATATTATAATGAAATATATCAGAATGAATGCTATATACAATGAAATTTATATTGTGTTCCTTCTTTTCTGGCTCCTGTTAAATATAAATAGTAAAAAAAAATTATTAAATGTATAATTTTCAGATTATTTTGCTATTCATTGTTACAGGTTGCAAGGCAGCTGCTAAATTATTGTTTACTAGTACACTTACACTTGGCTGTAAATCGTATTTGGATGCTCAAAGAAATGCTTGCTATTGTCCACCAATAAAGACCAATAAGCATAAGAAATATACCACTGGTGATGGAGAGCTTTAAGTCTAAATGTTATATAGTTTGTAGCTGTATTAAGAATTTTGTAAATTTTAATTTAACATTGTTTTCAAAATTGTGTTGAAGTTTTGTTTGTTGTATCATTATTTAAATCATTGCCAAATAAACACATCAAATATAGATAACCTTTTATTATAGCAGCAATAAAAAATTACATCTTACCCTTTTACATTTTCACACCTTAATAGAAAATATTTTAAGTTTATAGAGCCTTTGGAAATAGGTGCCAATGCAAATGATAAATTATATTATTTCATCTTATATGTGCAATAATGCTGTACAGTTTTAAATAAGGCCTTAAATTACTATTAACTGTACTGTACCTCCTTTAAGTTATACAAATTAATACTATAAATGGACACAGTCAATGCATATTTAATTTTACATATGTTGAGTATATAAAAATAATTCATTGCAATATAAATAAATACATGTATAATAAAAATATGATGGTTAGTTTCTTGTTCAACCCTTGTATGATTTTATCTTAGCTTAACAAAAATAAGAATGTGAGCGAATTGAGAATACTTATATAATTCTGAATTGAAATACTTGTATCTATGTTAACAGTTCTTTGATTTCTTCCTTCTCAGCAGCATCAATATAAGGTGTGCCATCTGGTGTTTTTCCATTCTTTGAAGCACCCTGAAAAGTTTATATGTGTTTAATTACATTTTAGGGATTAAACAAATTTACTTGTAGTATATTATATCAAAACTCACATGTTTTAACAATGTTTTAACACACTCAGTATGTCCTTCCCAAATTGCAGCTAATATTACCGAAATACCATGTTTGTCAACCATCTAAAAATATTAAATAAAATTAATAAAACCCAAGTTCTTCTGAAAAAAATTACAATCAGATATTAAGTAATACAAAACATACTTCATTACATTTCATTTCAACTTACATTAGGGTCAGCTCCTTTGTCTAACAGATAGTTTAAAACAGCTGTTTGCCCATAATCAGCTGCATAGTGAAGGGGTACCCGGCCATCAATCAGTGCATTGACATCAATTTTCTAAAATAAAAAATGTTACAAAATGTAAACAATTTCTAATGTGACATTTACTTAAAAAATATTCCAATTCTATGTATTGTTTAGCAAATTAAGATGAACAATAATGTTTTGGTCTTACAAAAATACTCTGTACTTTAGTAACCAAATCGATTAATTCAAATACGATTAATTAAGAAAAAAGTCGAAAAGAATCTTACACTTTTTTCTACGATATCTTTTACTTGCTCGATGTCTCCATTTTTGATACCCCAAACTAATTCGCTCATTTTAGCGTACCTAATTAGAATAAATTACTTATTTTACAAAATATTCACTGTTTACGTCTTGTGCTTGTGTGCTTAAAACAAAGAGAAGAGTTTCTATATAGTTTGTGGAGAAGAGTAAATTTTTTTCACTACCAAAGAGTATATAATCACTACGTTTAGTCACAGATACAAAAAGTACACTGTGGTCACAGACTTAATACGTTAAGCCATAGAGATATATACCTAGGGTGAGGGCATATTCCACTATAGAAATAATAGTTATACAAATATCTGTAATATCGACACACACTTGTCAAAAACAGTTTTGTCCCTTTTTAACAAAGCAGTAGCTGCAATAGAAAAGAGAGACATCTACAGTTTGTAAAGTGCTTATTTTGATAATACTTTCGAGTGACGTCATTAGCTCATCATTACGTGACTGCGCCGCCATGTTAAGCGCCAAGATTTGAGGTAGATCTACTGTCTAACTGTTAAAAAAGCAGTGAAATAGTATCGTACACTCTTAACCATGGTTCCAATTATTTTAATAAATTAATTTTGTTCAGAAATGAATTTATAGTAATAATAATAGTTTATAAATCCTGGATATCATATTTCATCCACCGATCCATGATCATGCCAGATTTTCGAATTTTAAATGAACGAAATTAATGTACCTGCGAAAATAATAATATTTTCATTTAAAATCTGAATAAAAAATTAAATATGATATCCAGCAGGACCAAACATGCTTATATAACTTACCATTTGTGATCATTTATGTGCAGAACGTTCCTATATACCAATGAATAATAAATTAGTATTGATTTTAAAAACAGTTTTTTTAATTTTTACTCAACTAATCATTATTATTTTATATTAAAAATACTATAATATGGGATTACAATAGGGAATCAAGGATGTCCATCCCATCTCCATACATTTGTTTAATGTACAATATTATTGTACAGTAAACAAAGGTATTTGGTATACAAGCATAAATATTCATTTTTCCACTACTCTGTTAATAATCATTTTTAGCTTTTTAACTTTGTTCACATTGATATAAAACAAAACGAGTGTGTGTACTTATGTACACACGTAAGATGTTATACTACTTTAGCGTAACAAAACAAAAATAACTAAAATAAAACACGTTTTATACATTCATATATATTTTAATAACTTCCTCAAATATAGTTATCAGTTGTCAGGAAAACTTAACAATTGACAGATAATTACCAATTGAAGTTGTTAAAAGTTCACTCTCATCATTTTTCTCAAACGCACCAATAGAAGTATAACTTCAAAAAGGAAATGCCCACCGTTCATAGACACTTCGGCCATGGGTGCCCACATATAAAATCATATTAAATTGATAATATGCAATTAAAAGAATAAAGTGGTTAAGGAATTGGTTTAAAAAAAGTCCGGATTTTTAAGATATAAAGGTTTTTATTTTCACAAGAACAGTTTTTTAACAACAAACGACTTCGTATTTTCGTGACATTTAAACCACAATTGACACAGCGTAAATGTTCTCTTGAATGAGTTACTAAGAGCTGGGAAGAACTCTGGCCGGTGTGAAAGCTGGGGTCATCGTTAACAGTGGATATCGAGTCCAAGTTTGTGCAGAAGTTATCATAAGAAGTGGGAGCGGGATCCATTTTCAGGCCGTAGTCAATTGGATGAGAAGAAATATCGGAGTCCATTTAGAAAGCTTATTCCTTGCTTAGATAACAAATCCGCGAGAAAACAAACAAAATAACACAAATGCAAAAGAATTCGACTTGTGACTATTTAGCTTAGATAATTATGACATGGGCCTAGCTGTCTAATTCGATGGTGCCACTTAACAGACATAAAATCTATAAATGGATATCGATTTTTTTATTCGATTTATAATTTCATAAGAAGAAATAATCTTTGATTCGCTTTAAGTTTTGCATGCCTTTTAAAATATGTTCGAGATTTTTGATTGGCAACACTTTATTTTATCCACAAACTAATGACTTACGGATTTACCTAATTTCATTTTTATCTTTTCGGTACTTTTTTTGTGCAAAAATATTGCAATCTTTTTTGGATACATAAATACCGCGATTAATTACCATAAAAAAGATGTATTTTTTTAACAAATGCAAATTGTTGGGCGTTTCATGTCCAGAATTGGGCATTCCCCTTTGAGTAAGCATACACAGAACATTGTTTAAAACAAGTTGCAAGTTTGCTGCCTGCATACTTAACTCATTATTTGACTGTGTGAACCTAAAACAAAAAATCTGTAGCAAAGTGTGCATTGCGTAAGTGTACATATGCGATGAAGCCTCGTGAAGCAGTTCAAGCGAAATTTAAGGGATAGCAATTCAAAACTAATTTAACAACCCAACAATATCCATTGCTTCATGTGATTGAAAAATTCGTTCACTCGACAACAAAAACCATGCAATGGATGTTGTTAAACTGTCGAATTGGTATGGTTTGCCATTTTAGGTGTGTTACGCAATTAGGCTATGTATTTTATTTCTATAATTATATAAAATAAGAACAAACTCATATTAGTAAAAATATCGATATCAGCTGCCCATATTACTGAGTTACAACCCTATAAAAGGCGGCCATTTTATGCGCCAGATTTGTTTAGGTAGTCACGCTAATTCTTTTGATGCCCAGTCTATATACTTCTAAGTCAGTACGTTAAGCCCACAAAGCACACTCTGATTTAATCATAGACTCTTATCTATGCATAAACTAAAGCCCGCTTTTCACTATGGGATATAATATAATAGATATATATTACACCTCGAGATATACATTAATATCGCTCTTATAAATGTATATTTTTATACCATACTTTTAAATGTAACCGCTTAACCTGCCCTATAATATATATTACATCTCAAACTATAAATATTTTTCGATCGACCGAGCGATATTTTGATATTATATTTCGCACCCTGTACCCCGCACACCGTTCCGCACCGCCGCAGAACCGTGTGCGGGGTACGGGGGGGGGGGGGGTAATCCAATGACGAACGCACTATGTTTAAAAGATATATCTGACAGTGTGAAATCCAATCGTGGGATATAATTTATATTTCGGGATATATTATATCTTATAGTGAAAAGCCAGCCTTATAGTTCTTTAAGTATAACTTGATTAGAATTATAGCTGTGGTTCTCATGTGACTAGTGCTGGAAAATTAAATCGATATATCGATAAAGTATTCATAAATTTTAATAAAAAATATGCACCCAATACTTATTGTAATGTATGTTTAAATACTAGGTTAACCAAGTATTTAAACATTGAGACTCATTTTGGGCTAATAAAAAATAGCAATAATAAATTTATTGCCACAAGGGTGTTCAACATAAGTCACAATCATCATTATCAGAATCAGAGTCACTGGAACAATCTTCGAGATTAATTATTAATTCATCATCATCATCATCATTACAGCCTTTCATAAGTCCACAGCTGAACATAGGCCTCCCCAAGGAATGCCACAAAGCACGGTCCTGAGCCACCTGCATCCATCGACTTCCTGCATGTCTCACCAGGTCGTCACTCCATCTCGTGGGGGGTCGCCCTACACTTCGCCTACCGGAACGAGGCTGCCACTCATGAACCTTTCTTCCCCAACAGTTGTCGGTTCTTCGAGCTATATGGCCGGCCCACTGCCACTTCAGCTTACTAATCCGTTGGGCTATGTCGGTTACTCTGGTTCTATTGCGGATATACTCATTTCTAAGTTTATCACGCAGAGAAACCCCGAGCATAGCCCTCTCAATAGCTCGCTGAGCGACCTTGAGCTTCCTCACACGGCCAGCAGTGAAGGACCACGTCTCAGTTCCGTAAGTCATCACTGACAACACGCACTGGTTGTACAATTTCGTTTTAAGGTTTTGAGGTATGCCTGACGAGAAGATGTGTCGTAGTTTCCCGAACGCTGCCCAGCCGAGTTGAATCCGTCGATTGACCTCTCGGTCGAAGTTGGACTTACCTAGTCGGTCTATTTGTCCCAGGTAAACATATTCGTCAACAACTTCGAGCTTAGTGCTCCCAACAACTACCGGCATAGGTGTGACATGGACATTAAACATGATCTTTGTTTTGTCCACGTTCATTCTAAGACCTATTCGTTGGGAGACACTATTGAGGTCATTGAGCATAGTGCTTAGGTCCTCCAGCGATTCTGCCATAAGGACTATATCGTCAGCAAATCGAAGGTGAGTGATGTACTCGCCATTGATGTTAATACCGTATCCTTTCCAATTCAGAAGCTTGAAAACGTCTTCCAATGCAGCGGTGAAGAGTTTCGGGGATATAACATCCCCCTGTCTTACACCTCTCTGCAATTGGATAGGTTTCGTACTCTGGTTCTGTAAACCGGCTTGTTCGGGAGGCTGGAAGTAGTCAAGTCTGCGCGCGAGACGATTCGTAATGACTCTCGAAAACAGCACGTAGACGCGGCTCAGAAGGGAAATCGGTCTGTAGTTCTTGTAGATCATTGTCACCTTTCTGGAAGAACAAGACCACCGCACTTCTGCTCCACGCCTCCGGTGTAATGCCACCATGGAGAACGGAATCAAAGAGCTTCTGAAGGACTTCAAGTACCGGTTTTCCACCCGCTTTCAGAAGCTCCGCTGTAATTCCATCATCGCCTGGGGCCTTGCCGTTTTTAAGGTGCTGGAGAGCCATGCTAATCCCGCTCAGACTGACGTCTGGGATACCATCGGAATAATGTCGGATAAGACTCGCTCTTGGATCGTTACTCACACTTGCGTGTGGCTCCAACGATGACGTGTACAGCTGCCCATAGAAGCTCTCAATTTCACTCAAAATCTCAGGTGCCCCGGAAACGATGCTGCCACATTCGGTCTTCAGCTTTGACAGTTGCCTCTTTCTGGTAGACAGATCTCTGGCAAGGACTTTGGAGCCTTGGTTCCGCTCGATCGCTTCTTCAATACAAGCTGTATTGTTACTATATATACTCTTTGGTTGCTTCCGAGTTTAC